TGGATTTATTAAACGTGTAGAAGAAGATAAACCATTTGAAAGGCAAACTGGTAGTGGTAGAAAGCCAAAAATAATGACTAAGCGCGCCATCAGTCAACTTACCAAGCTTTTTGACCATAAATGTGGCTTTTCTCAGCATATAGCTTCAAAAAAGTTCAAATGTTCTTAGTCACTTAATTCTGAGACATTGAAAACCAAAACATCAATAAAAAAAAGAAAACAAATGAAGGTTCCAAGTCGAACTGAGAGCCAGAGAGAAAAAAATTGATGTTTGTGTGGTCAACTTTATAAAAATTATAAAGATTTTATTTGGGTTTTTGATGACGAGCCTTATTTTACTCTCTCGAACAGCCAAATTAATGGTAATGATAACTTATATTCAAGTAACATCGAAAGTAACACCAAACAATGTTAAATTCAAAGAAAAAAAGAAATTTGAAGAAAAATTATTGGTTTACATGGTCATTTTGCCATTTGGCCTATCAAGCGAGTTCGATCCCCACCACGTCCCTGGTAGTACCGCGCTCAACTCGTTTCTCGGCGCAGCGGCCTTGCTCGTCAAGGTTCGTGTTTCGGAGTTATAGAGTTGAGAGAGGGTTATAACCACAAATAAGTAGCCTCCTCGTCTGTAGTGGCCTTCTCAACCTTGAGGAGGTGAATTAAAAAAAAAAAAAAAAAAAAAAAAAAAAATCCAAACATTGTACAGTCTGGAACTGCTATTAACCAGCATATTTATGTTGATGAATGTTTGATTAAAAAACTATTACCACACATCAAACAGCTTCCAAAAAATACCAAATACATATTCTGGTCTGATCTAGCAAGTGCCCATTACTCAAACAAAGCTGTTAAGTTTTTGAATGAAAATGGTATAAAGTTTGTAACAAAAAGTGAAAACCCTCCAAGTATGCCTGAATGTCGTTGTATTGAGGATTTTTGGTCTTGTATCAAAAGAGATGTTTACAAAAATGGTTGGCAGGCAGAGAATTTGTTCTAGAATAATTTACTGTTTTAAGAAATTCGACAAAGAGCTGGTACAACGCTTGGTAGAGTCTACTAGCAGAAGACTCAACACAATAAGAAGACAAGGTCTTGTTGAATTAAGATTAGCGTTTTTATTAAAATTAGAATAAATTTGCTATTTTATTCTTTTTAAAACAATAAAATTGGTCTTCTAGATTAAAAGTTATTTAATTTTTAGTTTTGTCCAGATTTTTAGTAATCACTCGTTAATGTTCAAAACATTTTTGAACATTAGTGAGATTAATTTTGTGACTCAATTTCTATTTGATTTGTGTCTTGTTTTTAAACTAAGAAACTGAGCACAAGCTAGTTCTCGTTTGGGTTGTTCGGGCTTTGCTATGATCTTTTAAGACTTTTCTTACTTCTTTTTCAGATTCACTTCTTTGCACTTTTTACAGCTATCTTTCTATGATTCCTTTTAGGATTTTCTTCATGGCGGCCCTTGGATGCCTTTTGTCACTCCAATTATTCTGTTTTCTATATTATCTCCTGAATTTTGTTCTTTTTTATTATCTCAACAATTTTAAGTCAAGCTTCACTCTACCAAATGGTTTTCTTGCTATTTTCAATTGTAATAATTTCTTTCATATTTTTTACAAAAACTCTTGAGAAACGTCTCTTTATAATTCAAGAATCATTAACAAAGGAAAGTTTTACATTCCATCTCTAATACATGAGCCTGATTTTATTAACTCTCTCAAGGATGAAACTGTTTGCAAATAACTTTTAATATGCGGTAGTGGTGTAGTGGTAGAGCACTCGTTTCATGGGCGAGAAGTTTGATCCTTACAAGGATCAAACTAGTTGATACCTAGCAGTATCAACTTGTTTCATTGTGCAGCAGCCTTGTTTGTCAAAGAGTTAAAAAGTTTGTGCCCCTCTCCAAATTTTTTTTTGTAAAGGACCCTTTTTTTATAAGAAATTCTTAGATATAGAGGACTTTTTTTAGAAATTGACGATTGTGCCCCTCCACTTTGAAATCCATGTTGTCGGCCATGATTTAGTTATACTACCCTCTTGAAAATGGCATCTGCAGTTTTAATTTGAAAAAAATCTTGAGAATACTCTGACCCCTCTGACTATTGTTCAATCAGTTTTCTCTCTGTTATTAGAAATGTCCCTAAATCTTTAATTAAAAACCTTCTCACATCTTGAGTCTAACTACCTACTCTTTGTCAACTTACTCTTTGTCAACTTAATCTTTGTCTTGTTCAATCATTCTACAAATGACTTATTAATTATTATAACATTAAGGTTGTATTATATGTTAGGTAAAGGTGACAAGGCAAGAGTTGTTGACATATCTTTTTCTAATGATGCTCGCTCTCTTCTAGGCAAGGTCTAAAAATGTATTGTAAATGTAGTTAATTCTAATCTAACTGCCAAGCTTGAGTTTCTGTTCCATCGATGTTCCATGATGATTGTTATTTCAATTTGTAATTGGACTTATTTACAATAAAACTTTATTGTGAGTTTTCGTTAAAAAAATGCTTGATTTAAAATTATGTTGAAAGTATTACTTTCCACATAATTTTAAATCATTACTTTTATAGCATTTTTTATTTTTAAAGTTACAAAACAAAAATTAAAATACCTAAAGAAAAAAAATTTTAATTGACTATGCAATAAAAATAGTTGACCCTTAAGTCTATGTGTTAACTGGTCAAATTGACTGCCTACTTTTGATTATTTATTTTCTGCACTTTAAAGGTCAAATCCTATTTAGAGATACTAGTAAACTGCATGCCTCCATTAGTACACATACTTATTGATTGAAACTTCATTTCAACAATATTTGTTGCGTGCCCACACAGCCTGTATACTCAAAATGTGGATGTAAAAAAAAAAAAAGACTGCTCTCATCAGCTTAATAATCTGATTCAAATGTCCAAATGGTATAAAATCTTTGCTTTATTCGGATGTTTTGGATTATTCGGATCAGTGATTATTCCAAAACTAGTTATAAAGGAATAAAAGCAAGTTGTAAACAAACGTCGTGTATTAATTTGAATAAGGAAAAATATAAAAAAAAAATCTGAATCTCTTCATAACAGATATTTAAAATTAATTTATTCTAAAAAAACAGATTCGTATAGCTCTCGAGGCTTTTAAGGAGTGTTTATTGACAGAAATTTTAAAACGCCTTATGATAAAAAAATGAATTTTTTAAAAAATAACTCAAATCAGATGGCTATAAACGTTATTAAATAAATATTTTTGAAGAATTATGAAGAAATGTCCAAATGTCCTAATCTGGTTCTTGCCTAAAGCAAATCTGGTTCTTGCCTAAAGCAAGAACCAGATACCATTTGAAGAAGAGTTTTAACCAAAGTGCAATAATTTTGTTAAATTGATGTACAAAACGCGTGGTTTGCAAAATAGCACAGGCGTAATATATTAAATACTAGTTTAAGTGTGTATTATTGTTGCACTAATTTCGATTTATCACAGTTTTGCTATTAATAATTTTTATTATCATATTCAATAACTTTTTATATACAAATGTAAGTTTTAATATGTCTTCAAAATCAAAGATTTATTATTTTCTTGTAAATAAATAAAAAGTTAGTTTAATACATTCTTTTTGTTTTTATTTTATGGTTTTTAACATTTTTGGTCTCTTCATCTGAAATTTAAAAATACCATAATAAAAATAATAAAAATGCCATATTTTTTTATATCATAAAAAAGTTAAAAGTAAAATTTGGACCTAATTAGCCATAAAACTTTTTTTTTAATATTGCAAAGCATAAATCTAAAAATTAAGTTTTTTTTTTGTTGATTTAAAAAATGATTTTTTCAGAGTTGTGGCAGGATACCTTGTGCATTATGGATATTGTTCTACAGTTGAATCTTTTGCAAAAAGTACTGGGCAGAGTATTGGTGAAGAACTTATATCAATTCGCAACAGGCAAAGTTGGTGTTTATATATTTTATAATAGTTATGGTAACCATTATAATTAGTGTCATAGTTTTTTTCCATTTATGATTATGATTTTATTTGTTTTTATATTTACATTTTCTGATTTAAAAAATTAATTTAAAACTACCTAAAGAAATAACAATAAAAAATTAAATAATATAATAGTCAAGTGTTTGATTGGCTTTATTGTTTATATATTTAGAAATACAAAAGTTAATATTATCTGGTAGAATAAGTGAAGCCATAGAGACTATAAAAACCTTTTTTCCAAATTTATTGGAAAAAAATCCAAGATTAGCTTTCCAACTTAAATGCAGACAATTTATTGAAATGGTTAGTGGTTGTGATGGGGAAGTTAAACCTCAGTCACAGTCATTAACACATCCACAACCTCACAGCCCAAACAGAATACGAAGTACTCCTTCTAGTCCAATGCATAGTAGTTTGAATGCATCAAGTAGTAAAAATCATGAAACAAATAGAATTAGTTATATTGAAAATGGAGAAAAAGTTTTGCATGAAAATGGGTCTCTGAATAACGGTAATGGCTGCTCTGATATGATAGTTGATGAATATATAAGCAATGGTGTTGACCATTATAAAGATAGTCCTATGGATGAAGATAACCGGCCTCATAGTATATCAGTGATAACATCTATTTCAAAAGGTAGTAAATTTTTTTTTTCTTTTTAAATATCTTGTAGTTATCAGTTGTTAGTTGTAATTATCAATATAAAGTTTTAGCTATTGTTTATATCATAGTAAAATTTGTTTTTAGGGTAAATAAGGATGTGATTATGATGGTTTAAGGAAGGGGGGTAAATAAGGAAGTGATTATGATGGTGTTATAATGAGTTTAATATGTTAGTGAAAATTAGTGTTGTTAGTAAAACCATTGGCAACCTGGTCACAATATTGTTCCCCAGAACAATATTGTGACCTCTTTTACAAAAAGCTGAAAGCACTGTGCTGTGCTCATGCGCAAGGTTTTAGGATTAAACCATTATGTAACTTTTTTTCTCTGAGGTATATTAAAGTTGTAAAAAATGTTTCAGAATGATGTGAGTTGATTGAAAAATTAATACTAGTGAAAATGTTTTTTGCAAAATAAAATTTTATGCATATTTGTATAAGCATTGAATTTTTTTTTATTTAATTTTAATAGTATTTTTTGTAAAAAGATAATATTTTTGTAAAAATGGCAGAAAATGTCTTTTTGTAAAAAAAAAAAAAAAAAAATGGTGTCTGTTATCATTCAGTTAGAAATGTTTACAATTTTTAAGAAAATATTTTATTGTCTCCAGATGTGGATAAAGAGTTTTTACAAAAAAAGTTTCAAGGTTGCTTTCACTTGTAGTCACTGTTACAATAAAGAAACAAATCAAAATTTTATAAACCAAACATGTGACAGATGATTACAGCAGTAATTAGTTGTTATGTTGCAAATTACGTCACTTCCATCAGTATTAGTTACCATAACTTCTAGCAATATTATTTATCACAATTTCTAGTAATATTAATTACCACTACTTCTAATAATATTATTTGCCACAACTGCTTTTTTTTTTGTCTATAATCAGTTCATTTATTTACTAAACATTCAAATAAATAGTAGATATGATATAATTATTAGTTGATCAACTTTTGCTATTTATTAATAAAATAAATTAAAATTAAAAAAATTTAATACCAAAAGTTTGGCTAACCAGACACTTTAGTCCATTTAAGATGTCTTAACTCTTTCTGGGGATATGCAATCATGGATTAGAGAAAGATAATAGCAAATCTTGAATCAACTTATAAAACTTCAAAAAGTTATTAAAAAGTATGTGAGATTGTCAGCACAAAATTCTCATTCCAAAATCTTATTGTAAACATACTTTGCAGCCAAAATAAAATTGAAAGGGAATTTGCTGTTAACAAAATTGCGAAAATATGAAAAAATGAGGAGTTGAGAACTTTAACTTCTAGAACATACAAGCTTCATTATTTAAACCTGTAGGCATCCAAATTGACTGAGTTAATAACATGGGAAGAGGCCTATGAATCTATCTTAACCTGTGAAACATTAATGAGCTAAGAATAATCCTGTATAATAAATCCTATGGTAGTTCCACAGATATTTAATCAAAAAAATAACATGCTGTAAGTTTAGTTATAATAAATTAATTTTCAGAAGCATCTTTATGCTTTTATTCAATATTTTTCAAATGTTTTAAACCATGATTTAAACCTATCAACCCTGCAAGCATGTCATGCTAAGTTATCTCTCCTTAATGCAAAAAATAAGAGTGGAAAGTGGTGGAAAACAAACTTTTTTTGAAAGAAATATCTAAAAATCTAGTATCTAAAAAAAACTCATTGACATGGCCTTATACTATTACATATATTGAATCTCAATAATATCATGCTTTCAGAATTCAAGTTTTCATTCTCTATCTCCACAGTCTGATGATATTGTTATTTGGCTTGGAATATTTGGAATATTTCCTCTGATTCAGATGCTAATTATTTAGACACAGCGTAAGACAGAGAACAGCGAGACACCGCAAGAAAAAACAGAATGTAAAAAATAAGATATGAATGAATGATAAAAATAAGATTTAATGAGAGCAAAAAACAGACATGGTCAGCATTAGGTAAGGGTTCTGGTTCCTGTACTAAAAAAATGTAGTTTTAGTCAGGGCCTAATGGATGGTCTGGACAAATCAGAAAAGAAATTAAATTTTGCGATACCTTGCCAATAGTTAATTACGTTTTTGTCATTGCCAAAAAAGATAAAAAATTGTTTAGCTCTGACCAAAAATACAGGCTATTGTCCATCCGGTTTTAGTTAACCAAAATCCTGGAAAACTTAACCATGCCTGGTGGGTAGCCACTGTAAATAGAATATTTTGGTATTGTGTTGGATGTAGCAAACCATTGCACAGACTGAAAGAAGTAAAGTTTTTTAAAATTTACTGCTAATTGTGGTTCAAGATGAAATGTCCATCATCATCATCAGATGTAATTCATCATTCTGTTATAGATGCTCCATTAATCCATCATTCATCGCATAAATCTAGATAATGGAACTTTGTTAAGCTAAAGTTTAAACATTAAGTAATTTTTCCACTCTAAACTTTAATTGTATATTATGGATTGCAGAGCTTGTTTGCAAAAAACTGAAACAGTTTTTTTTTTTCAAAAAAAAAAACAATCAAGATAAAAATGACGGGCAAAAATTTATTAGGTTTTAAAATTAGTAATTATGTTTTTTAAAAATGTTTTATTAAAAATTGTTTAAATTAATTAATTTATTTTTAAAAAAATGTAAAAAAACTTTTTTTTAAATGTTAAAAAAAAGATTTATGCAATAGAATTTAAAACAATATTTATATAAATGATTTTGTATAAAATTGTATAGAAGTTTGCTTTTTTTGAGCACCAGGTTGACATATTTTTTGAGCACCAGGTTGAAATTTTTTTCAGGTAGTATAAGAGACCCGTCAAATATTCAATACACTTAAAGTAATTAAAACGCTAAAAATAATTTTTATTAAAAAAAATTTTTAATATAGTTTGTTTTATTATACAGAAAAAAAGTAACTTTCACTTCCCCTAGTATGTATTTATGAATTTTTTTATTTATGGTGCTGCAGAATCGGTACCATTAATGCGTCAACTTTGTGGTGGGAATTTAGTAGCTATTGAAAAGCTTCTTGTGTTTGGTAAGTTATTGCAAAATTCATATAAAGAAATGGTAAATGCATCTGGCGTTGAACATGAAGCTGACAAGTTACTTTTAAAGGTAATGGATTTTATTTGAAAATTTATGAAAAGCTCATATGTATACATATATTTTACATTCTTACCTGTCAGTCAATGTACACTACCTATAGCAATGTTGTTATCATTGGTGTGATTTAAAAGTGAAAGTTTATACATTGACTGACATGTTTGAGTGCAAACAAATAACTAAAAATTTCTGAAATTTTAATGGCAAAGTTAGAACAAAAAAATTATTTAGAATAAAAAATCTGTATTTATGCTTCCTGATGACAAATGTGCTTCTTATGCAACTTCTTGGATTCAGGCTGGCATGGAATCTTTTATTCCCTCTCAATAATTCCAAGTCAAGCCTCACTCTTTTCCATAGTTTTCCTCTCATTGTGCTGGTTTGGCTATATTTAATAAATTAAATAATTATTATTTATATTTACTTTCAGTTTCTCTTTTTTAATTTATAGTTGAGGTTTTATCAATTTATGAATTTTCTAAATTTTAAGTTTTTGCTACAAACTTACTTTTTTAATTTGCTACAATTTTTATTTTTTTATTTATGATATTTGCATTTTAGGATTCATTTAGTTTATTAGCATACAATAATCCTTATGAAAGCCCAGTCAACAAACTTTTAGAACCTGTAGAAAGAGAAAACATTTTTGCATTAGTCAATACTGCTATATTAGGTATATAATAATATTTGCAATATATTAAGTGTATGGAATTTTAATTCTTGTATAAATTTTATAACATTTATATTTATTATTTAGAGTTGAATTAATATTTATTATTTAGAGTTGTATATATATATATATATATATATATATATATATATATATATATATATATATATATATATATATATATATATATATATATTGTTGTTTATTGTTGTATCTGGTTGAGATACAAATCCTCTTGTTTACTTGAGAGTGATCAATATAATGTTAAAGCAATTTTTACAAAATAGATCAATATATATATAAAGTATAACTAAATAGAAAAAATACAACTTTATAATCAAACTAAAAGTTTCATGCCTATCGGCAATCTTCAGCCATATATATTATACAAATCAAGAAAAAAAAACTTTAAAAAATGACGTCGGAACTCATTCTACTGCTGTTTTTGTATTTTGTATTTTTTAACGGTTTTTTTCTTGATTTGTATAATATATGTGGCTGAATATTGCCGATAGGCATGAAACTTTTAGTTTCATTATAAAATTGTATTTTTTGAATTTAATTATACTGTCGATTTGAATTTCTTATATTGCGTAATATTGCAGTAGTTGTAGACAGTTAAAATACGATTACTCTCAAAATTTGAGAGATTTTGGATGAAGAATCGCTTGCGGATTTAGTTTTTAAGATTTGTTGGATTATGTAAAAAAACACCTTAAAAAGCTTATATGCAAAACTTGACGTTTTAACTATGTTCATATTTAAATGTTTTTCCAATACTATTTGCTTTGATGTATGATTTAAGTTTATAATAATTTATAACAATTAAGCTAAATTTATAACAACTTGTTAACTATTTGAAGATTTGAATAGTGAAATTTTTTCCTTATATTTACATAAGAATATCAAAATAAACATTATTTTCACAGTTTAAAACATTTTGGCTATGGATATATATTTTTAGGAAAACATTTTCAATTAAAAAATGTCATTATAAGAATGGGAATAATGCCCTTTTGAAATATATGGTTTACGCATCTTCCTGCTAAGTAGTTCAGTTAAAATGCAGCTGTGTCGATTCTCGAATCCATAAACATATTGGGATGCATCCGATACAAGTTTTACAGCTCGCTCAACACTCTGGGATTGAGATGGAAAGTCGGGGATTTCAGGTTTAACATTATTGTCAAACGCATTTTTCAAACATTTTTTAATTGGATTTGCTCAATTGAAAAATGTTGTGTTGTTGAGGGTTCCGTAAGTTTAGTAATGCTGATATCTACCAACTCACACCAATGATTAGCATTAAAATTAATTTCTGGAATTTTTTTCAAATTTACTTACAAACTTTCGTTGTTAACTCTATAAATATAAATCAAATTATTTTAAATTATAAAAATTACCACATTTAATGTATCATTTTTTTTCAAAACTTTATTTTACTTAACTATAAAAAAATACCTTTGCCTTAGACCCAGTAGGATTTGAAAACCAAAGTTTCGTATCTTGCTGTCATTATCTTTTAGCATGGCATAAAGAATATTTTTAGGTTTTAGGCACAATGCATTGTTTTTAATGTTTAACATCATCAAAGGGGAGATTCTTTATTCTAGTGATAGTAGAAAAAATAAGGCGTGTGGATTCATGAAATTTTGAAGATTTTTTTATATCGAACCATGCTGAAGCGTAAACCTGAACAATAAAACATACGAGTTTTTTTAAAGAAACAGTTGGTTGATTGTCTCTAGTATACAAACAGAGAAGGCGAATAGCTAGAGTTAACCACCTTGCATGGTTAAGCGGTCCAATTTTATAGGCGCCCCATTTATCAGAAACTTTACCAAAGCCTATTCCTTTGCAGTACATCTACAATTGGGTTTTCAATACGATCAAGCAAAACTTGATTTCTATCCTGAATATTTTCAGCACATCTTTTGCCAAGTAGACCACTAAAGCTTCTTGGCCCAGTTGTGTCACCATCAAGTTTTACAAAAAGAGCTTGTAACTGAAGTTCATTTTGATGTAATGCACATCCAATTAGATGTAGTTTTCTTTTTAAAAGCTCTTCTAGTTTACCACTAAGCCACTTATTGGTCCAGTTTTGGTAGCAGTATTATCAAGAAGAACAGCTTGTATACTTTACAAACTGTTATGTTCTTGTAAAACACTAAATGTTTTGGTAGCAAGAACTAAACCTGTAGCACCGGTGACAGGAATCATCCTATGAGTCAAATAATTTCTACTCGATTTTCCATCTTCATAAGTAAATGTGAGGTAATGTTCAGGTTCAATGCATTTCTTTAGTACTTCTCCTTGAGGTAAGTTTATTACTTTACTTGTTTTAGTTATTTGATCAAGCTTGCTGTCAACCCCAAGACAAATTAACTGTTTTTTTTGTTCACCTTTGAGTCCACCTCTTCACTAACGATTTTTATTTTTGACTTGGCCCTATCTAACTTGCATTTATCAACCAAAATATCATAAATATCAACGTCATTTTTCGAGAGATGTTTATGTCATGTAGTAAAGCATTTGCAAGGGCTGCACCTACATTTGACGAACACTCATTTTTGACTAATTCCATTGCAAATCTTGGAAGTTTAACTAAGTTGTATTTTCCAATAGGATTATTAATTGGTTTCCATTCACCTTCATCCTAAAAAGAGTTAATAAAATAAAACGCTTTCTGTTTCATCTGTTACAAATATTTCATGTATTCATAAAATATTTACCTCAGTATTGGTCAAACCACTTGTTTCTTCAATTAAGTTTACTTGTGCTATGAGGGATTCATCTTCATTAACTAGCTTATCAGATATTTTTTGTCGTTCTTTATCAAGTCTTTGAATCCTTTTGACAGATAATCTATCAACAGAAGAAAGTTGATATGCACCTTTTGGACCAATTTTTTTCCTCTGATCATGAAGATAAGCTCTGTCTTCCAGAGGTACTTTATTACTTTGAGAACAAAGACATACAATATGTTCTTCGATGCAATTTTCTTTATTACATAAAACTTTTCTGTCACTACAGGGAAACACATCTAATGAAAAGGAACACGCAGAAATATCAAAAAGTTTGTCCAAGTTTGCATCAAGATTTCTTTTAGCGCTTGCTTTTCCGTGCTTGCGATTAATATCCTTAACAAGTACGAGAAGATCTTTAACTTTCCTATTAATAGATTTGTCAGTTATAAGAGGTAATCTTGGGTTTACTGTAGCCCAAATAGATTTTATATTATTGCTAATTTGCTGAGTCACTAATACGATATCTGCATTTGGATTTATATGAATAAGATAGTAATAATACTGAATAACCTGTCTAAAAGTGCTTGGATCTATCGTTGATAGTTCACATGGGCCGTCACAATATTTTTTTTCACTTTTCATCCATGTAATTGCAACCTTTACTTTCGGCATTTTTGTAGATTAATTATATATGTAAACTGTATTAAAGTAAAACACTTAGAGTAATGGGCAACGGCGTGAGTTTTTAGTGGGGGCCAAAGCATCAAAAAAACCTAAAATATTAAAACTTACTATTAAAAACCTGCTTTGATAAAAAATAAAAAAAATAAAACTCTTTTGAAAAAATTTGGGGGCCATGAATTCAGGAAACTCAGGAAATGAGTATAACCATTAGTTCCTCCGACTAAATTAAGTAAAATCATTAGTTCCATCGAAAAGTTTTATATTTTAATCTACTTCAGAAATTGCAAATCAAAACTTATGTAATATAAACAGGTTAAAACATTACTCTAGATATAATAATCATAAATATTTACCTTTGATATTAAACGGTTTCTTTAAATTGCAGTTTTATTTTTGAACCTACTTTTAAATAACTTTAACTTTAAAACCAACTTTAAAATACAAACAAGAAATTAAAATACAAAAAAGATTTGCAAAGTTTAAATGCGTGTAAACGATTTAGCGAAACTTTATTGGCTTCTTAAAACAATTGGGCTTTTTAAGAAATGGTTTATTGATTACTTTATAAATTCAAAACGAGATATTTTAAAACAAGATTACTAGACTTAAAATAAAAGTTTGCAACGTTTGAAATTAACAATCTAACAAAACTAGTCCAAAATTAAGACTTAAAATGCAAAGCCATTTTTAAACCAGGGTACTTGAGATTTGGCAAAACCTCATTTCTTACCTAGACACAGTAACTGCAACATTACGCAACTCAAAATTAAAAAAAGCTAAAATCGACCTACCCTAATATATATATATATATATATATATATATATATATATATATATATATATATATATATTATTATTGTATAATATATTATGGTAAAATTAATGTAAAATATATATATTAATGTAAAATTTTCAAAAAGTTATGTAATTACTCATTTTTTTTCTGTTACAAGAAAATGAAAATCTTCCTGGTAAACCATCACTAGAAGTAGCTATTGCACAAGCAAAACTTTGTTTAAAAACGATGGCAAAGCATGGTTTGGGAGCGTGTGCAATGGTAAAAGTAGAAGATTTTTTTTGTGAAAAATAATGTCCAACAGATTTTTGTTAATGTAAACATGTATATATGTGTTATTAAAAAACTTTTTAAAAAACACTTGTTTTGTTATTGTAAATTTTTGAATTTTTATTATGAATATATTGTACCCTAAACTAGTTAAATACATTTTACATTTTATTTTAATGAAAATCTATGTACACAAACAAGCAGCACATTTTGTTACAACATATATTTTAAAACTTTATTTTTTTTTACCATCTATTTTGCTATTTTGTATTTTAGTGATATAAAAGTTTTATCATTTTTTTCCTTACAAATAATTATGAAATTTTATAATACTTTTTTGTTTTATATTTTATTTTTTTGATATAATCATTAATTCAATAAATCAATTTTATTTTCAATATATATGTACATATGTATGTAATTATGTATGTATGTATGTATGTATGTATTTGTTTATGTACTTATATATGTATCTATGTATGTATTTAAGTATATATGTTTGTATTAATGATCATCAGCACATGCATACACACACACATATATATATATATATATATATATATATATATATATATATATATATATATATATATATATATATATATATACACACATTCATACAAACATACACACATACACACACATATATAATCATATATTTGTGTATGTGGTTCAATGTTTTTTGTCTGGTAATACCACATTTCATTTGTTGAACTTGAGTATGTCTTAGTATTTCCACATAAAAAGAAGCTTTATAGTATTTTAAAAGGTTTATTTTAATAATTATATATATATATATATATATATACATACATACATACATACATACATACATACATACATACATATATACATACATACATACACACACACACACACACATGCACACACACACACACACACACCATCAAACACACACACAGACACACCATCACACACACACACATATATAATTTTAGTATTTACATCAAATGGAGGTTTGGATTTAAGGCAAAAATTCAGCCACTATCCTTCAAAATATAAATATTTATAATAGTAAAAATCTTCTTATTTTGCTCAGCACTTTTGTATAGCAGGTCTAAATTGAATTAAAAGATAACATGTTAAAAAATTCAATCAACCAATCAGTAGATGATACTTGTAATTATACAGATGATGTTACTGACTCACTTCCTTTAATAAATGATGAGCAAGATGTGCAGTTTTTGGGTGCACCAATCAAAGTTTTACCTGATGGTCATTTAACAATATACAGTGCAGTATTTTTAATTGCAAATGGAGCATTAGGGGTTGGAATGTTAAACTTTCCGCAAGCGTATTTGGCAGCAGGTGGTGTTAAAGTTGCACTTGCTGTTCAATCTGTAAGTCTTTAAAAAAAGGATTTTTTTCGAATGTTTATTGAATTAAACATGGTAATAAAATATAATAAATTTTGAAGTTTATAAATAATATTGTTTTTTGCATTATTTTTTTTATTGTTATTTTTTTTTATTCATTATTAAAGATTTTTATTTTTAAGTGTATTTAAAAAGATCTTTATAATCTTTTAACAGTTTCTTTTAACAAAACCTTTTTCTAAACTTTTTCAAAAACTTCTTTTCTAAACCTTTGTTATCAAATTCAAATATGTCAAACAGGTTCAATAACATTGTTATGGTTGTAAAATTTTATCAGAAAAAATATTGAAAAATTTAGTATTTATTTATTTTTATTAACATCATTTTTGATTTTGAAAGTATTCTGTTAAAGCATAGTATTTTAATTCATTTATTATTACACTATTAAGTTTTTTAGATATTTTTTAATAATTTTTTATTATGTATTCAATTTGATGTCTTTGTGGTCTTGAAAATTAAACTTTCTGTTTTTTTTTTTAAATTTCAGTTTTATTTAATTTTTATTTAATTTTACTATTTAATTATTTTCTTCATTAACTACTTTATTACGTTAGTTTAAAAAAAAAAAAATTAATGTCACAAATACCTAACAAAAAAGATAGGGTATAATAATATGATATTTAATATATTATATTAATTATGATTAAAAAAACTATAATAATGAATAGTATATTACATAAATGATTAAATATTATATTGTTATAATTTATATTTTATTTGGTTAGGACAATAAAATTAGATTGTTTATAGATAAAAGTGTTGGTTGGTTGAGGCAAGTAATTTTGTCTTGCAATATATAAAAAGAAAAAATTATATTATTTTTTAGACTTTGCTTGTTTTTATCATTGGTGCTTTTCTTATCCTTGCATATTGTGCTGATCATTCCCAAGCTCAAACCTATCAAAATGTAATACTTTTTATGCTGGGACAACGAGCTCAGATAATTTCACAAATAGTCATTTGCATATACTTTTTTGGAAGCTGTATAACTTACATTATTGTTATAGGAGAACAGTTATCATCAGGTCAGTATTTTTTTTTTTGTGAAGGTGGAGGGGGGGGGAGATAATTTGTTTTTATTGTTATTTAAATTTGTTTTGTTTTCATTTTTTTTTTTTTAATAAATTATTTTTAAATATCTCCATTTAAAATGTTTTTTATAAAATAGTTTTATATAAATGAGACTGGTAAGAATTGATCCAATTGCTATAGTAAAAACATTCCAAAATTCATAAAGTTGTTACTGATAATTTGTTGTTATGGTGTTCCAATGTTGTACTAGATCTTGGTGATTTATGTGAACACATGCTCTTGTTATTTTTTATACCAAACCAAATTTTTTATGTGTTTTAAAATTGTTTTTTAATACCTTTTATGGTTATGAAGCAGATCCAGGAAATTTACATCAACCTTTAATCTCCTCTCCTGCTTTATCACCTGGATCTCGACGCCATACTTGAATCAGTCATTCTGTGAGCTCTTGTTTACTTGCTATTATGTCAACACTGACTTTGCATTTGACAAGCTCCCATAGATTTTCAATAGAGTTCGTATCTGGAGAATTGCCAGGCCAATCAAGAAGCTGGATACTCTCATTAGCAAGAAATGTCTTGATTTTGCAGTATGGCATGTATGTTTTGCAGTATTGCATGTAAGAAATGTCTTTTGGATTTTGCAGTATGGGATGGAGCACCATTTTGCACCATTTGAAAACCACTCTCGTATTTGTGGAAACAGCAAAAGCTGCAGGACAGTCTTGTACTGATCTTGTTTCATCTTCCCTTGTACCATGTAAAGATGATCGATACCCCTGCTCGATATGCATGACCTAACCATTAGTAAAGCACCCAGCATTATAGATGCTGGGTGCTTTACAATGTTTACAGTGCATTCTGGTTTGTGTTGTTCTCCTTGTCTGTGGCTCACAAATGATGCTTTGTCTTCCAAAGTCTCAAAGGTAGATTCATCGCTGAATACAACCTGAATAAAGCAATCAATATTGACGTTTAATAATTTTTCAAATATTAGTAAATTCAATTGGGGTAATATATTTATTCAAAAACATCTTTTGAAAACTTGTAACAAGAAAATATAATTAGTTTAAGTGTATAGAGAGAAAAAATAGAAAATTTACTATATTCCAGTCATCTTGAGAAAAAGAAGAGTATTTCTTAGCCCAAGCAAGATGTTTTTTAATCATCGCAGGTGTAAGTTTTGGCTTCTTCAGTGGTTTTCTACACTTAAATCCTAACTTGTAACTTCTCCTTCTCAAAGTGAAATGTTGATTCCTTGGTCTTTCAAAACACTTTTCAGTTTTATTGCTGGCATCTTGCAATTTTGTTCAATGACTTTTTTGACTTTTTTGTCATCTCTAGCACTTGTTATTCTCTTTCAACCACAGCGATATTTTCTCTGTGGTTCTAATTTGACACTCATTTTGAGTTTGGAACTTGTTCTTCTGACTGCGAGACTTCAACTATTTTTCTAATACTCCTTTGGGTGCCATCTGTTTCTTGCAGAAGAACAGCTGCTTTAGCTAATTTATGTGGGGAGATACCACTTTACCCATTATTAATCCTAAAACAACACTCAATAAGTTATTATATGACTGCCTGATTAAAGGAACAATACTTAAAAACAACAGAAGTTATAAAAACAACCTACAATAATATAGGCCTCTAAATATTACATAGTTAGAGTTTTGACAAATAAAATCAACTGAAAGTTTTCAATTTTATATTAATAAAACTTACCATACTTTTTATGAAGCTGAAAATATTTTTTTAAAGTATATATATATATTATAAATTTTCTTAACCTAAAACAAAAAATGAATGATAAGAAGTTAAATTACATAAACAACAAAAAGTAAACAGCAATCTACTAATCAAAAAAAATTCAAAAATCTAGCGAAATATGAAAATTTTATTCTTGAGTCTGATAATTTGAGCAGGTACTGTGTATATATATATATATATAATATATATATATATATATATATATATATATATATATATATATATATATATATATATATATATATAGTAAATTTTAAGATCTTCATTTTATTAAATCTTGCTGATAAATACATGAAATCTGAAAAAAATCAATTCAAAAAACAAAACCATTTACCAATATAATAATTACAATGTAGCATTTTACTATAAAGAATATTAACACCAAGTTGGTGTTGTTGGTGTTACAAAAAATTTTTTATCCGAACCCAACTTAAAAATACAATTTATTCCAATACTTGTTTTATGCCAATTAATGTTTTATTAGGATACATGGCTACAAAAAAAATTGGTTTTTTTTCCTAGTAACAAAAAAATCTGACTTGTACTATGTTTATTATTTTTTATGCATCAAATTAAATTTTTTTTTTTTTTAATTTTAATTTTGTTTAAAAACTAAAACAGTTCAATTAATACTTATCAATGAGTTTTTTCATTTGTTGCCAACTCTGTACGAACATTCATCAAAGCTAAACCATTTGGGTGGTGGTTCTGTACCATGTTGTTTTGCATATAATTTTTTAGGCGCTAAAGTGAAGAAAATGTGCACTCACATTCACATGAAGTTAATGGAAAATTAGCAAGTAAACTTTTAATGTTTTCACAAGCAGGAAAATGTATCACTTTTAACAACTCAGTAATATTAAAATAGATATCACCTTTTTAAATTTAACCAGAAAGCTTCCCAAAAAATGCAAGGGAATTCTGTAAATCTGTTTCATGAAAGTCACTAAAAAATATGATGGAGTCATTTTAGTGTCACCAAAAAATTAAACTTTTGAAATCATTTTTATAGGAACTAGCACAAAGTTCTTGAAAAGTATCCAAACCGTTTACTTTTTATACTCAATGTTCTGCGAAAACCTTTTAATTGTCTTTTTAACGGTCAACAGAGCAGTGCTTTCAATATAGTTAAATTAAGCCTATTTTTCATTCAGATTTAAAATACAAGATGACAAATCTTTAGTGTGACCATCAATTACTAACACATTTGCGTAAAAAACTGATAAATTAGTGTTTATAAAACTTAAATTCATAATAAAACTTCTTCTAATATTTGACAGTTAAGTAGAAAATTATTTTTATATGCAATATTAAAATATTTTTTTATTAACTTTTTTTTTTTCAAAGTTACAGATGTACTAGGCATACCCTTGATCCACCTCTGTAAGTAAGATCCACGTCTGTAAGTAAGAAATTTTACCCATGATCCTCTGTTTTATATATCAGAGTAATATTTAAAAAGTATATAAAAAATATTGTTTACCTAAAAGCATAGTTTTCATGAATATTGATTATTAAATATTGTTTTAGTAATTTGTTTTAGTAATTTGTTTCGCCTGCAATTGTCACAAAAATCCATATACAGATAAAAGGTTTTTATTTGCAATATTTGGAGTATTTTTGTTGCTACCTTTATGTCTTCAACGCAGACTGAAAATTTTAGCCTACACAAGGTATTTTGTATGCTTTATTAATTTTTTTTTTTTTTAAATCAATATTTTTGACTTTTTGTTGTTGTTGTTGTTCCAGCTTTTTTGGTGGTTTTGGAGCAGTTTTTATTGCATCTGTTGTTGTTTATCGATATTTTGTTGGAAGCAATGGTTACCCTGCCAACTATCACTATAAGTATTTTTTTTTTTGTCTAAAGTTATCTATAACTATATCTCTAAACAATGTTGTTAATAAATATTTTTTAAAGACTTTTTTATTTTAGCTAAATCTCTAAATAGCCTTACCAATAGCTATACTTCTAAAGAACTTTTTTCAACTATGCCTAAGTGGTCTTATGCAGCTATATAGCTATACTTCTAATGAGCTTCATTTTTAAATATACCTCTAAGTAAACTTATGAAGCTATATATAGCTATATATAGCTATACTTCTAAAAATCTTTATTTTCATCTATATCTCTATGTGATCTTTTGAGCTATACAGCTATACTTCTAAAAAACTTTATTTTCAACTGTACCTCTAATCAAACTTCTGAGCTATAAAGCTATACTTTTAAGGAACTTTATTTTCAAATATACCTCTAAACAGCTATATAAACAAATCTCTTAAGAATTTATTTTTAAGCAATTATCAAAGTTGAAGTTTGTAATAGGGATCCATATAAGTAATTAATTTCCATATAAGTAATTAAATTTTTTGAAACAACTTTTACTATATCATATAAGTTTTTTTACTTTTCAAAAGTAAGTTATGTAAAAGAAGATTACATCAAAAGTAATTTACTTTTACATGTAAAAAAAAAATTACATGAAAAAGCTGTTTACTTTTACATTTAAAAGTTAATTACTTTTTAAAATTACATTACATAATAAATAGTTCCTCAAATTATAATTTACATAAACATATAAAAATAACCAATTTAAAAAATATTATATTACTGTAATTGTAACAAAAAAAACTTACATATGAAAATGAATTACACAAATGTAATATGCTACCATATGTAAATTAAATTTACATATAAAACATTTTTTTAAAAAAATAAAGTAATATTTTTCAATAAGTCAGCATTTTTTGTTTTAAAAGTAATAAAAATTTTTTATTAAAAGTAAATTATAAAATATAAAATTTAAATTATATAAGCTTACATTTTATATAATTTGTAAATTAAAGTAAATTAAAAGTAATATATATATATATATATATATATATATATATATATATATATATATATATATATATATATATATATATAAATTTACTTATATTCTACAATAACTTTTGAGACCTTGTACAAAACACCCCTATTGCATTACTACAAAACACCCCTATTGCACTACACCCCTATTGCATTACTTTTTGTGCAAAAAGTAATGCAATAGGGGTGTAGTGGTAAGAGCGCTCGCTTTGTAAGCGAGAGGTTCGGAGTTCGACTCCCACCATGTCCCTTGAAGTACCACGCTCAACTTAATTTCTCCGCGCAGCGGCCTTGCTTGTCAAGGTTCGTGTTTCGGAGTTAAAGAATTGAGAGATGGTTGTACCACGATTTACAACAAAAAAAAAAAAAAATGAGTAGCCTCCTCGACTGTAGTGGCCCCCACGGGCCTTGGTGAGGTGAAAAAAAAAAAAAAAAAAAAAAAAAACTTAAGTAACTAACATTTAGTTTGCAGCAACATTTTAGGTATGCACCGTTTTAGGTATTTCCCAGTAAAGTTCAAAAATATCAATAATAGGTTTCTGGAAATGATTTAAACCCTCTCTAGATAGTTTTGACTATAAAAACTAGAGGTGTACCAGATATTTTTGCCGAATATGCCGGATATTGAACTTTTCTGAAGTTCTATAAGTGTTTAAGAAGAAAAAACAAGTGTTGTCATTCTACATTAAATAGTGTTCAAGATTTAAAAAAATAAAATCAGGAAAAAAACTGGTATAACACAGGTATATGCTTTAATAATGGAAATGCGTTAATAAAGAAAAAATTGTTTTTACAGCCAAATTTTTATTTTTTTTAACTATTATTTTCTATACTTCGTCAACACATGTCATACAATTTTTCTTATGATTTTTTAAAGTAAGATCTTGAATACCATTTATTGTAGACTGGCAAGACTTGTTTTTTCTTCATAAACACTTATAGAACTTTAGAAAAGTTAAAGATCCGGCAAAAATATCCGGTACACCTCTAATAAAAACCATCTTTGAATCAAATCATCTCAAAAATTAACATAAAATTATCTTTATTTTTTTATTTTTTAAAGACATTAACTTTTTTTAAATTACTGCAACAATATTAATAACTGCAAAACAAGTTAAATCTTATTAAACTTCTTTTTTATTATTACTATAACGGAATGTTCTTTGCAACTACAAATAATTTTTTATTTTAAAAAAATGTTCGGGTAACAAATAAAAAATTACATTAATTTATTTACTTTATTTATTAAAAGTTTATTATTTTATTAACAATTTTGTTGTGAAAGCAAATTTTTTTTTTCCAAACGTCATTTATTAAAATTATATTACTGTATATATAGATTATTAAAATGAAATATTTGCCATTTAACTTGCATTATTAAAAGTAAAAAAACTTGAAATTGCTTAAGGCATACGTAAATCACTCTACATGTAATGCTTTAAAACAAGGCCTGAGTTATGTAAAGTAATTTACGCCTAAAAGTAATTTGTGTTTTTGTATCAAAATAAGTAAAGGAGCCATTCCTAGTTAGTAAAATAGAAGGAAAATGTTGATATAGGAATAAATGTTTGATAGTCATAATATCTTTGTAAATAAATTTTTGATGAACAAATTTCTCTTATTTTGAGTCAAATAACTTACTGTCAGACAATCAATACGGTTTTTGGTCCTCTCTATGGCTCTACAGCTCAATGGCTGACTTGCTTACTGATGTGGCTGAAAGATTTTATGGTGCATTAGATGGAGGCAGAGAGGCTAGGGCTATTGCTCTTGACATATTTAAGGCTTTCGACAACGTTTGGCATGCTGGTCTTCTCCATAAGCTTGTTTCATATGGTGTATCTTGCAAAGTTTTTGAGATTATCTAATCTTTTCTTTCTAACCGCTTTATTAAAGTCATCCTCGAAGGCCAACACTCTTCTTTATTTTCAGTAATTTCTGGGGTACCTTGAGGTTCGATCCTTGGTTCTGTTTTGTTTCTCATCTACATTAATGATCTTTCCGACAACCTTAAATCTAAAGTAGCTCTTTTTACTGATGACTCAACTTTATACTCTTGTCTTGACAAAAAGTCTTCTCTTTTTTGATTGCTTAGAACAGGCAGCTGATCTTGAATCTGTATCTCACTTCTGTAATAGATTGGGGCTCACAGTGGCTTGTGAATTTCAACTCTAACATAAACCCATACTGCAAACAATTACTGCAGTATTGTAAAAGTTCCTATATTAATGAATGGCGACCCACTCACTGAGTCCCCTTCAATATGTCTTCTTGGATTATCGTTTACTATTGACCTTTCATGTAAACCACATATACAATCGATTGCTAAATTAGCATCCGCCAAGGTTGATTCTCTTTATCACGCTCACCATTTTCTTACTCCTGATTTCATTCTTTATCTTTACAAATCTCTTGTCTCTGTATGGAATATTTTTTTCATATATGGGCTGGTTCTTCCAATTATGCTCTTTCTCTTCTAGACAAGATCCAAAACGCATTTTAAACGTAGTTGGGCCTGGTCTATCTGCTAAACTCAACCCTCTTTTTCATCATCGTAAAGTTGCATCTCTTTCTCTTTTCAAGCAATCAGCAATGTCTCATTCTTTTACTGTGTCTGTCTCTGCTTGCTCTAAAAACTTTTATTCATCTAGTTTTTTTCCCAAATCTTTAAAGCTTTGGAACTCTCTCCTATCTTCATGTTTTTCTGACTCATATAACCTTCAATTTTTAAGTCTTCTGTCAACCATTTCCTTGCTCTATAACTCTTTTCTTTTTTTTCTAGTAACTCCCAACTTAATAGTGATTGCTTGCAGCCTTTTTGGTAGTAAATCAGAATAAAAATAAAATGTTAATATAAATTAAATGTTAATATAGTGTGTAGAACAAACACTTTAGAGAGCCGGGTCATGCTGATTGGAAAAGTGCATTTGCTTCTTTACCTGTCATTTGCTTTGGTTTTCAGGTAATTTTAGTAATTTCTGTTTTTACTTTTCTGATAAATTTAATGATGTATTTTTAAATGCATTATGTTAAGAAAATACACGTCAAGGTAAAATAAAATGTTTATAAATAATTAAAAATTGAAAAAAATATTGTAGAAGATTTTTATTTTACATGTGTTCACAACCAAAGCTGGAAAGAGATCTTTTTTTTAATGTTTATATTTTTATAACCTTTATTTTAGTTTTTAATAAATTATTACAACCTTCAACCTTTAACAACCCTCAACCTTACAATTCTAAAGCATATATTATTACAACCTTCAACCTTACAATTCTAAAGCACATATTATTACAACCTTCAACCTTCAACAACCTTCAACCTTACAATTCTAAAGCATATATTATTACAACCCTCAACCTTACAAATCTAAAGCAAATATTATTGCAACCTTCAACCTTTTAAGTCTATAGCACTTATTATTGTTAAAATTAAGCCTTTGCTACCAGGGGTTCAATTCATTTTTACCTAAGTTTTCAATTATAAATAATTTTGTATATAATAAAAATTTATATTTTATTATAAATTGTTATGTAATAAAAGAAAACTTTTATTAACATAACAATTTATACTAGCTAAATTGCCTCACATAACATTTTATACTTTAACCCCCCTTCCTCCAACACCTATAAAGAATCATAAGGCATACAACCATTTTATTAAATTTGACTTCTATTATTTTTACTATAATCTTACAGAGGCAGAGAAACAGGTACTAAACAAGGGTTTAAAGTTTACTTTGTGTTTTACCTAGATCCCTATTGAGTTTTAGTTAATCAGCATTTGAAAAGTTAAACAATATGATGGTGAGACAGCTTCAGGTTAACAAACTTTCTATAAATGCTTTTAATTATTTTCGTGAAAAAATTGATAAAACAATTTTACATAACTATAGAAAAACAAATAGTAAGAGTAATTTATCCCACACACTACATCAATGACTATTCTCATTGGAGATAAATAATATTGTTATAAAAAAATCAGATAAAGGAGGGGGGAGGGGTATTTGTATTCTTGATTAGGAGGACTATGAACGAAAAATATTTGAACTTTTAGTAGATGGGAATGCATATAAACCTTTACAGTATGACCCTACAAAAAGTATATGTAGATTTGTGAATACTCTAATTGAGTGTATGGTGGCCCACCTTATTGTTGATGAAAAAACTGCTAAAAAAGTAAGACCCAAAATAATGTCACAATCTCTTTTATTTTATGGCCTTCCGAAAGTTCATAAAATTAATATTCCACCATAGTTTTATATGGAGTGGACAAAGAAATATTAAGTAATTTTCAGAATTTAATATCGGTCTATAAAAGATTTATTGATAATTATTTATTTTTTTCATATTTTTTTTCGATTGAATATCTGATGAATCTGATCTGCTGAAGATTTTTAGTTTTATAAACTTTATCAAATTTGTTTTTAATCATTCTCAGTCCACCATTAACTTCATGGACCTTATCATTTATAAAAATAAAGTCAGAGATAAGATAACAACTATTTATATAAAACCTACAGATGCAATGTGTTTTTTACACTATGAATCAAATCACCCTTTACACCTAAAATCTAACATTACTTTTAATCAAACTCTTAGATATAAGAAACTTATATCTGACAACAATATCCTGATAAAAGAGCTCAAGACCTAAGCACAAATTGCAATAGTTCCCATAGAATCCCATAGAAGTTCCCCATAGAAGTAATAAATGCTTCTATTAAAAAAGTTTTAGGCTATACTCAACACCAACTTTTATATGAAAAAAGAAAAGAAGAAGAGGAAAGGGTCCTATCTGTTATAAAAACTTATAGCAATAAAGGAAGAAAAATAAAGGACATAATAAGTTAACATTGGCACTTGATAAGAAAATGACAAGGATCTAAAAACAGTTTTACCATCAGTACCACCTGTTATTTTTACCAACACAAAATGGATAATAGACATTTATTTGGACAACAAATAAAAACAAGTCATAGGCAATTTTTCACACTAGTTTTTTAACTATATATGTTTAAATATAAATTTCTGATATTAAATACTATCAACAATCAAATTATCATTCTTTGTTGGCTTCTTGTTACTTGGACACTTTTTTACAAAGATATTTTAGTTGTCGTACTATTCTAAATTGTTTTGTTGTTTTTAAATAAACTTTGCTTATTGTATAATGGTTGTTACAGTTTTTTTTGAACTTATATTATTTTTTGAACTTGAATCGCTTTAACTGTTTCACCTCATTTTAATCTACTTAACATATTGGTTAACTTTTTTTTTTCCTATTTACTTATCCTCCTATATGTAAAAAGTTTTTTTAATAGAAATGTTTCATATTTCTCTGTTTTCACAAAGTGGTGTGTGGGCTTTCACAATCTAGTTCAAGCACCACAGACCTGCATCAAATATTAAAAAAAAAAAAAATTGATAACTTTTATATAAAATATTTTATATTACTTAACCTTTTTAAAATACAATTTCAAAATTTCTTTTTATGAAATTAATTTTATGTGAGAGTTGAGAGTTTGTCAACAATTCAATAGTTTGTTTAAAATGTGAACCATTAAATGAATGTTCCTCAAGTCAGCACTTCTCATCTTCCAAAGTGAACCCTGGTATAATTGAAGCATATTTTTCTAAATTATATAGGAAATATATCAAGGAAATATAATATATATATATATATATATATATATATATATATATATATATATATATATATATATATATATATATATATATATATATATATATACGTATATATATATATATATATTAGGGCTGTTCATGTGAACACAGGAAAAAAAAATTTTTCTCGGATTTGAATCCATAGTTGTTTATTTTGTGCCATTTGACATAGTAATTGGCTGTGTAAAAAATCTTTCCAATCAGATAATGTTTAGGGGGTGCTCAATGACCATAAAGTTTTACGAAAAACGTCAAAAACGTGGAAAAAGTTCCAAAGTTCTAAAAATTTCTAGAACCTGGTTAGTTAGATTTTTTCCACTGAAATATTGTCTGATTGCGTGCTATATAGATTAATTAAAGTGCAGCAGATTAACTGTCATCAGGGCACCAGACTAAAAAATGTCTGCTAGTGTTTAAAACAACTGTGTTTATATCATTTTGTTAAAATTTGTATTCATAATTTTAATACTATTATTTAACTCAATTTAGAATTTGTTCAAACAGAATAAAAAGGTTTACAAGTATAAATATTATTTTTATTTGGAATTTCAGTTTGACAACAAATGTATTAATATTTTGATAGTACCTAACCTTAGTAACCTATTACAGAAAACTAGCATGGTAGTCTGGTAGTGTATTGTTTGTTATTAAGTGCAGATAATAATAATTTCTAATTTGAAAATATTTATTTGATTTCTTTAGTAATAATTATTATTATATATTGCTGCAGCTGCATAAACCAACAACTGAATGATAAGTTTGTATAATATGGTATTGAGTTTTGATTTTCTCATAATTTTTCAGTTATTATTGAAATGGCAGCATTATCTCGTGTTGCTATCTCTACACGACTTCAAACCGAAATCTTTTTAATTGGACAACCAGAGCCAAATCTTCCAGATAAAGTTCTTCCCTTAACATCTGATGTTTTAAAAACATTTTTTTATCATCTTAATTCAACCAAAAAGTCAGTGCCTGAAAGTCTTAAAACAACTGTTGATGAACTGATTATTATTTGGAATAAAGCCCGTATTCCGACAGCATTTCATCCGAATGTAGTCTTAAAGTTGAAAACTTTAGTCCAGGAATTTAAATTAATAAAAAAAAAAAAATCCAGATTGTCAGATTCTCAGAAATCAAGAGAGAAATCATTTACAGACACCATTGGCCTACTTTTTGACATTGCCCACAAGGATGCTGAAACCATGATCAGAATTGAAGAAGATAAAGAATTTTTATTGGATCAGAGATGTCAGAGAAAAATGGTGATGTTTGGAGAGGACAAAGAACTTTCAAAATTAGAAGCAAGAAATGAAGCAAGGAAACAAGCAGAGAGAGAACGAAAGCTAAAAGAAGAGCAAAGGCAATCTGGTGCGAGTGCAATAGTTCCTGTTATTGAACCTTTACATGACGAAAGTTATAGTGATGACAACGATAACGATGCTGTTGATAATGACAAAATGGTTGATAGAGAACGGAAGAGAAGCGAAAAATGATTTCCAACATGAAATTTCACGGTGAGAACTGGTCTGAAAGGTTGATCAAATTAAAGAACATTGAAAGTCTAGAGAAGAAATCTCTGGACATGCTGGTTACATCAGTTTCAGCAAGTGCGTTGCGGTCAATGAAGGTTGATATTGATTTTCTGTTCAACAACGATCCAGCTACCTGGAATGATTCCCCAGAATACCAAGAAGGAAAAAATTTAGTATATTCATTGAAAGTAGTAAATAATGCTGCCGAACGATCTGTGGCTTTAATGTCGATGTTTAATGAATCGATTACAAGGAATGAATCTGAAATGCAGAGGTTAATTCAGGTGGTTGAGGATCACAGAAAGCGAGTGCCAGATGCCAGAACGTGTACTCTGAAGAGTTATGGTCCTGGCTAGCATTAACATTGCACGAACTATAACATTACGATAATTAAATGTTAATTGCTCATATGTTTTTAAGTTGACCTACTTAGTAGTTGATAACGGTTTGAGAAACTGTTACTCCTTTACAATAATTTTTTTTGTTTATAATTCGTATTTTAATCAATGACAAAGAGTCAAAAATCTTAGTGATTTATTTTGGAAAAATTCTGATATAACAAAAACCGCAGAACTTTAGTCGTATTGCAGTATTTTATTTCATTAATTTCTCTGCTAATAAACCAGTATAAAGTGGATGTGGATTGTAATTTGTATTCAGAATTTAATATTTAGAGATAATTAGAACTGATCAAATCTGAAAAATCTAATTAACCGGGTTTTAGAAATTTGTGGAACTTTGTTACTTTTTCCATGTTTTTCACATTTTTCGTAAAACTTTATGGTCATTGAGCACCCCCTAAACATTATCTGATCGGAAAGATTTTTTGCACAGTTAATTAATATGTCAAATGGCACAAAATAAACAACTATGCAATCAAATCTGAAAAAAAAAATTTTTTTGGGCAGCCCTAATATATATATATATATATATATATATATATATATATATATATATATATATATATATATATATATATATATATATATATATATATATATATATATATATATATATATATATATATATATATATATATATATATATATATATATATATATATATAAAGGAAATTAATTTTTTGGTATCAAACATATATTTATTAGAAATAGGTTCTATCTATAAGACAGTCTATAAGAAATAGGTTCATTTATTGTACATTTATTTATTGATATAATTTCTATTACCACAGTTTTTTTTATGTAAAGTAAAAAATTTTAGTAGTAAAATATGAAGTACAATCAATTTTTTAGATTTGAAGCACATTAAAACGTTGCAAAAAAATTTAAGTGATTGTTTGTCTTTTTACCTCTTCTATTCACCTTAACATTACAATAAATGTGTTTTATGAGAACTTAACATTATAATAATGTGTATTAGGAGAACTTAAAATTACAATAATGTGTGTTAGGAGATCTTAGCATTACAAGTGTTTTTGGAGAACTTAACATTACAATAATGTGTTTTAGGAGAATTTAACATTACCATAATGTGTATTAGGAGAACTTAACATTACAATAATGTATTTTAGGAGAACTTAACATTACAATATGTATATTAGTAATATATAGTAATATGTGTATATAGTAATATGTGTATTAATATAGTTATATTTGTATTAAAAGCTATAAAACAATTTTTTTAAACAATTTTTTTTTAAATCATTATAAAAGGCAAAACCTAAAAATAAATTTCCAAATATTGAAAAATGAGTGAAAGGTTTTTTATTTCAAACAAAGATTCTTTCAAAGATTATTTCAAAGATTGAAAGGTGAATAAAAGAGTCATTAGAAAACAAAAAGAGTTGGTTATTGAGAAATTTGAAAAGAAAAAAAAGCATTAGATACTATTGATAATGTCAAATATGAACAGTGTACTTTACAGAACAGAACTTTAGTTCTTGGCTATTTAGTATTCAGTATCATTAGCTCTTATAAATAAAATTTAAAAAGAACTAAAAAAAATAAAACAATTTTTTGCTATATTTATTATACAGATCAAAATATTTTTAAGCTTGTTTTCCATTCAGAACTATTTGCGCTTAGGAGGAACGGAAGAGTTCTTTGAGCATGCGCAAAAAATTCTGATTGGAGAACGGGTTTAAAAAAACTGTTTGCGCATGCTCAAAGAACTTTTCCGCTTCTCCAAAGCGCAAAAAGTTCTGAATGGAGAACGGACTTTATACTTTTTATAATAAGCTAAAAGAAGTTTTACTAGTTTAACCTAATCTCAGTTAAACCAGTTAAAAAATTTATCTCAATTTAATCCAATCTTGTTTAATCCAATTTATACGGTTTGTTAATGTTTTGTATTTTTAGTGTCATGTATCATCTGTTCCAGTATATGCTGATCTAAAAAATCGTAGCTTGAAAAAATTTTTTGTTAGTTCTTTATTGGCCATGGTTGTTTGTGCAGGTGCCTACACCCTTGTTGGAGCCTTTGGCTACAAAACATTTGGTTCTAATACAAAACCAGATATTTTGGAAAATTATGATTCTAGCGATCATTTAGTTATTGCTGCGCGTGTGGCCATTGTATTAATCTTATGGACTTCATTTGCTATTTGTACATTTGTTGCGAGGTATTATATACATAAGAGTGATAATAGTTGTTTTTGAAAAAATTGTATGACATACTCAGATTCCAACGCCATATTAAGCTTTAATATGACTTTTTTACATTTTTTTATTTGAAAATTCAAGTTTTACTACTTATAATATGTTTTATTAGTTACTAATAATATATCTTTTAATGTATTAATTATAAATTTTTTGCGCATGTGTTTGAAATATTTCTAAATCTTTTATTATTTAAATTTGTAAATAGCTATTGCAACATTTATTTTTTAATTTATTTGTTTAATAATAACTGTGTAGAATGAAAATCTATGGAACCTAACTAAGCTAAGCTTAAACAGCTAATTTATGTTAAATTTATTTTATAGAAGTATAATTATTTATCTGATTGCTTTGATTTAAAGTTGGATAAAATAATTATACTTGCATCTAAATAAAATAATTATACTTGCATCTAAATAAAATAATTATACTTGCATCTAAATAAAATAATTATACTTGCATCTAAATAAAATAATTATACTTGCATCTAAATAAAATAATTATACTTGCATCTAAATAAAATAATTATACTTGCATCTAAATAAAATAATTATACTTGCATCTAAATAAAATAATTATACTTGCATCTAAATAAAATAATTATACTTGCATCTAAATAAAATAATTATACTTGCATCTAAATAAAATGATTATACTTGCATCTAAATAAAATAATTATACTTGCATATAAAGTATATCAGAATATATATGCATCTATAGTATGTCAGAATATCAATAAAAAAATGTCATCCAGATTTTAGAAAAAACATTTTATTAAACTTCTAAATTTTTTATTAAACTTCTAAATTTTTTATTAAACTTCTAAATTTTTTATTAAACTTCTAAATTTTTTATTAAACTTCTAAATTTTTTATTAAACTTTTAAATTTTTTATTACACTTTTAAATTTTTTATTACACTTTTAAATTTTTTATTAAACTTCTAAATTTTTTATTAAACTTCTAAATTTTTTATTAAACTTCTAAATTTTTTATTAAACTTCTAAATTTTTCATTAAACTTTTTTTTTTTTTTAATTTTTTATTAAACTTTTCATTTTATAAAAACTTCATTTTTATAAAATGAAAATTTAGAAGTTTAATAAAAAAAAGTCAAAAAATATCATAAGAAGTCATGTAGTTCAAAAATAATATCTAATTAATTAAGTTTTATGGAAATAAGTGTAGAGTAGAGCCTCTTTTGGTCTTAAAGGTAGGTAGGTCTCTTTTGTTGTTATATTGTACCGTACACTCATTTAAGCTTCTTTCAAGTAGTCATCGCAACAGATTTAAAAACAAGCTTTTAAGAGAACTCCTATTTGAATATCAGGTTTTATAATTTTTTGTAAGTACTTTCAATCTATTAACATGTCAAACCTTCACCTTTTCTAACAAAATTAGACAATTTACGTTTGATTTATTTTTCATTGTTCATACTTTTATTAAACTAATACGCAATCCTAAAAGTATTAAAATTTTTAAATATCTTACTTTAATTAAACCAACAGGTATGAACACATTTTATATTTTTTAAATTAAAATGTCTATTTAAGAAAATAACAGAATTATATCACCAACCCTCGGAATTAGGAAAATTGAGGTCGGCAATAACTTGCCGACCTCAATCTTTTAGAGGTCGGCATCAGGTCGGCAAATACAAAGATCTTACCATAAAACATCGAAACGAGGTCGGCAAAACCGAATTTTTTTGCCGACCGCACCCACGTTTAGGTCGGCAATGCCAAATGCCGACCCTAATTCCGAGGATTGTATCACATATTATATATTACAAAGTTAAAAAATAACCACGTATAATTATATCATATATTATGCATACTCACTGTGTGAACTAATAATAGTTTTTTTCTTAAATTTTGTTGTAGCACTTACTAAACTCAAATTTAAGTTTAATTTTACTTGGGAGTATGAGTATTCACTTACTAAACTCAAATTTAAGTTTAATTTTACTTGGGAGTATGAGTATTCACTTTAAAAGTACTTTGCTTTTTATTGTCTATTGCTTATTAAGTCTCCAGTCTAATAGCGATACAGTCTAATAACTATAGGCAGTTTTCGTAAATCACTATAGCTTGTATTCTAACTGTGAGTATATCATGAAATTTACACAAGCATATGTACGCGATGGCTGTTACTATCCGACTGATAAATATTGTATGGGTCTGTTAACAGTGTTGCAGACTAGAGACTTATTAAACAATGTTGCATATTGTTATATATCATATTAAATTTTTATGTACTTGACGTTTCAAAGAATTTGGTATCACTAACGGTAATGATATGTGTGTATATACATTCATACATACATACATACATACATACATACATACATACATACATACATACATATATACATACATGTGATTTGACTGTTTGTATTACGTATATAGAAAGAGAACTTTTTATTTTAGGACAGTCATAGATGGAATTTTCTTAACTCTTTTTAACAAAACAGAAAATGAAGCTGAAGAAGCTGAGCAACTTCGACGATATGTTCAGACAATTGTTTGGTTTATACTTGTGCTTTTCTTAGCTGCTGTAGTTCCAAATATTAGTGTAGCGATCGATTTTATTGGTGGAATCGCAGCAATGTTTATATTTATATTTCCGGGTGTGATTTCTGTTAATTTTATTTTAGTTGATTAAATTTTTTTTAAGTTAGACATTAAAAAAAACATTTTTAAATGGTTTTTTTAATGGCAAAAAATATTTAAAGAAAAATCTTAACATTATTAAGGTCATTTTAATGATGCGCACTCGGACTATTTTGATGATGAGCACTCGAACTTTAATTTATTCAATTGAAATTAGTTGTAAAAAAGATATATAGGTTACATAATTTAACCTAGGCGCTAGTGCACAAAAACAAAGTTCTAGCTATATAAGGATTTTGGTATTTTATTTTCATTTATTGTTTTAAATGATCGTGTTTTTTTCAGTTTTAATTTGCCGGCTTAGTAATATATTCGCCGTACCATACGTTACTGGGGCGACTGAATAAGTGCAAATTTCATAACAGCAAATCTTCAAAAATGCGAACTGGCATAAATGCAAAGCAGTTGCAAAAACTGGTATAAGCAGTTGCGAATTGGTATAAGTGCACCGAATATATGTGTAAACATTGGCATAAGTGCAAAGTAGTTGCAAAAACTGGGGTAAGTGCCAATCGTCATAAGTGTGAACTGGCATAAATGCGCCGAAAAAAATTGTAAACATTGTCGTTAGTGCGAATTAGTTAAAAAATTTGGGTGGTTGTTTATGTTAAGTTTGATTTTAATTATCCATTATAAAAACGTAAATCCTAACAATTCATGTTCTAGTTAATGTGGTCCTAACAAATATTATGAGACTATTTTGTTACAATAAAAATATACAGTATATTTACAGTATGGCATATTTTTCACAAATTTGGAGATATTTTTACTGATTTCAAAATTAATATACAGATGTTTAATTAAGAGTGATATTGGAATAATACGGTTACCTCTGTAAATAAAAATTACATTAGTAAGTAAATTTAGTATAACGGTAACTACATTTCCGTAATTTTTACGATAATACTAACTTTTTTTTCAAGTAGGGACAAAGTTTAAGATGGAGAAAAACTTTTTACCTTTTAAAGTTTTTTTTTAATAATTATACGTTTATATTAAAGTAAACATCTAAAAGCACGTGATGTTCTAGAACATGGTCACGTGATGTTAATGCATGTGATATTTAACAAATAATAAATTCAGGATTTTAGATTTAACAGTATAACTTGGTGTTTTGATTTCCTATTCGTTTATATTTATATATATATATATATATTTTTTTAGGTTTTTGTCTTCTTCAGACTGTAAATTTGAAAAAAGCATCATTTCAACGTCAGGACATTGTTGTAATAATAGTAAGCTTTATCTACTTGATACTTGGTACATTTATTTTTGGTCAAGTTACTGCACTCGCTTTTAAAACACACATTTTTAAACACAAAACTTAAGGATGGGTCGTTGTATTTATAGTAATTTCTATATTATTCTATTTTTAGTTGATCTATTTTTTATGTTGCTTAGTTACTATTTTCACAGAGAAAAGCTGTTTATAATTTAAAGTTATTTTAATATATTTTTATATAATATAGTTTTTTTCAACTAAAATATTTACTTTTTTTTTTTTAATTATCGGAGTAAATATTATTGATCTGGTATTCTTATATTTATGAATTTTTTTTTTTTTTTAATATTTTTAGTTTTTTTTTTACAGCATTAAGTTTGTTTGTTTTTTATAACATTAAGTTGTGTCTAAAAATTTTTTATCTATTTCTACTTTTTTAGTTTAGTTTCATTTTACGTACTTTACTAATAATTTACAATTAAATTTATAAACTGTCATTCTTTTTTTCCAATTTCGATCCAATTGGCTGTATAGTTAGGTTACAGATTACAGACAATGATACGTTTAAAGTAGTTTTGTTTTCTTGATATGTCATCATAAATATACGTATATTAGACATGTTGGCATACGTTAACGATAATTTTTAATTACAAGTCTTTATATTATTATGAGCTAGAAATGATTATATTATTTACAAGAATGAAGGAGATAATGTATTTAAATACATTAAATAAAAAAAAGAAAGAGAATGCATTCAGCTAAAAATAAAAAATTAATTTAAGTCAATGTAAAAGTTGAAATTGAAAACAAAAATTTTTTAAATTTTAACTTGGATTTTTTATATTCGATTTTACTTCAAGCGATCTATAATTTATACCCTAGAAATATTTTTAAAACTTAACAACTTTTTATTATATGTATATATTTTATTTGAATTCTAGCTTTTTATTACTAAGACAGTAGAAAAGTATGGATTTTTTAAAATATGATATAATTTAAAATAATGCGGCAACATATTAATTAAGAACGTGTTTATGGGAATATTTATACGTTATTTTTTTTAAATCGTTTTTTTGGAAAAGTGATATTAATTTAATAACAATTTACTAAAAACATTTTAAACTTTATTTTGTTGCTTAATATGTAACTATTGTTTTTAACAGTTTATAATAAAAACGAAATGAGTTGATAAAAAAATTAAAAATGCATATTCTCCCGTACGCAGACACGCTTAGCCCCGCAGATTTTCATGGTTAAATCATCTGAAAGGACTAAACAATTGTTTTTAGAAAAGCAAATTTCTATCTTGTAAATGCACGTGTTTTTTTAAAATCTTTTAAGTTACTCCAAACTCTGTTATACCCTTTACATTATGTTACAAGTTTGGTAAGTCTCTTACAAATGTTGATTTTAGCAAAACGAAAAACTTTTTAGTATTCGCTAAAGTATTTTGCGTCAAAATGTATCGGTCATAAAATATAAAATAAAATGTTCAAAAACTTCGTTCTAGTTTTCATGATACATAAAAGTCTTACTTAAAAATGGCTTTTTTATTAAACATTGGGTATATCTTCATATTCGACAATTTTCAGGTTTACAAGAATTTTTGTGAGTTATAACCCTGAATGATTATTTATCTTCCTTTATATTATTTAGGACAAACTTTTGAGTTGAGCTTTTTGGATTTTTTGTGCTATCAATTTCAAAATGTCTCAAAATTATGACATTTTCCATACAGATATTGTTCTTTTGCTCCAATTAAGAATGTTAAACGCTGCTATTTTCGGTGCAAGACTAAAAACCAGATAAGGTAAAAGCTATATCCTGCAATACTTGAGCAATAAATATATATGATATATCATTAAGAAAACTATTATAAATATATATGATATATCATTAAGAAAACTATTATAAATATATATGATATATCATTAAGAAAACTATTATAAATATATATGATATATCATAAAGAAAACTATTATAAATATATATGATATATCATTATGAAAACTATTATAAAGGCCTTTTTATAACATTTATAGTAAAGTCTTGTTTAAATATTGTCGATTCAAGTTTCAGCAAAATATATATTAATATATATTTATATATATATATATTGTAGATAAATATTTTGTCCAATATTTTAAATACTAGAGATTTAATTAATTTTTAAAAAGAAATTGTTTTTTAATGTTGTGAAAAAACATTAAAAAGACACTGCTGTAGTCACAACATTAAAAAGACACTGCTGTAGTCACAACATTGAAAAGACACTTCTGTAGTCACAACATTGAAAAGACATTTCTCTAGTCACAGCATTAAAAAGACATTTTTGTAATTATAGCATTGAAAAGACACGTCTGAAGTCACATTGATATGTATATAAAAGAAGCAAAAACATCAAAGATACAAAAAATTTAATTGCTGACCAGTGTTGACTCAATGAAGAAAAAGTAAACAAATGTTAAAAAAACACTTGACAAGTTAACAAATAATAAAATAAACACTTAAAACATTAAAAAGTATTTACTCATTTTTCAAAGGGAGCGAACTTTTTTTAAGGCACTAAAAGGGCATTTAAAAATTCAAAACGGAGAAAATGATATCATTTTAAGGTGGTAATCTACCGTGAAGCCTAAATCCTATAATTTTGTTTAAAAAAACCCAATTTTTGGCGCTATATAAAAAACCTTACAAAACTAAGGAATTTAAATTTTCAAATTTGGTTTTGAAACACTGTTTTTTGGTCCGCAGAACCAAAAAAAGGCCATTTAGGCTGCGATAAATAACTCAAGAACGATTAAAGATACAGTTCTGGATTTTTTGGTACATCATCTAATAAGGAAGTTAAATTGACTGAATTAAGGAAAAAAATTATTATTAAAAAGTTTTTGTCTAAATGATAATTCAAAATGGCAGCAAAATTTTGACCCAAAATACAGGTTTTGAGCCCAATTAACTAAAGAACCAAAAAGAGTTAAAATAAATTTTTTTAATTCAGCTAATAGATTATATATAACAGAATCAATGTACCATATTTCAGGTCCATAGCACTTAATTGAGAAAAGTTATTTATCGCACCGTTTCAAAAAACCTTATTTTGAAAAAAACAGAAAAGAAATATAAAACCCAACTCTTTTAGTCTAATTTAAGCCAAAAACTCACAAATTGAATTAACAAAGCATTATTTTTTAAAAAACAAACTGTTTCAAATCATTATTGGCTTTAGAAATGTTTTTTTAAGACTTCAAAGTTTAAAAACCACTTTAAAAACAAGAAAAGAATATAAATACATAAAGCAATAAATTAGTAAATTGTAAATTAGTAAAACGCTAGATATAGTAATGTAGAAAAAACTGTATAATGACGTAGAAAAAAATAATTTAGAAAAGACCAGTCTCATATACTATTCTTTCCATTTTTTCATTGGCATCTGCAAATCCTTTACGCTTAGCTCTTTTTTTCCGTTTAAGCTTGACTTTCGGAGTAGACTTAAGATTCATATTAGCGACTCTTACAAAATCTTTATTTGTACAAAACTCTTGCGTAAATTTTCCATTATATATAGCAAATTTTCCATTATATATAGCAAATATATTTAAAACTCCATTTATTCCCTCGTTAAAACTTATGAATGCAGATGACACACCAATTTCTAATGTGTCTCTAGCAACAAAAATATCCTTCGGGCATCTTTTCCAAATAATTTCATTTAACGATTCATTGTTGCTTTGTGTTTGCCCATGCAAACACTTACTTAGTAAATCATCATCACTTAAACTAAGAAAAATTGGTTTTATTATGTCTCTTACAACAATGGATAGTCCTGGTTTTTCTTTATACAGGGCTGTACCATTTATTTTATCAGACTGGTATTTACACCAACTTTCAGGGGTTCTTGGACACATTTGGTGGCAACACCACAACACCATTTAAAGAAGAGAATCCTCGCTTTTGCCAGGTGCCATCACATGAAACTGTAATATCTGTCTTGTTCTCACCAAGACCTTGCTTAATCTCAACAGCTGCTTTATTCATAAAGTTTAAAGCAACCTGCTTGTAAGCCACTAATATATTCCATTGAATATCATGAAATGTTTTTTTATGCATTGGTGGAGGTAAATTCATAAAAGCACAAAAGGTTCTTAAAGCAGCATGCCCATTTCCTATTTCCCTCATAGCAATAATGGATCTCATATTTACATCCGATTGATATTTCCCACCAGATTTATCATCAATTTTTTGGCTAGTGTAAACTCTTTTACTCCATGAGCAGAGTGAAGCTGTACATGTAAACTCTAATAAAACAGACAGTCCTTTCTTTCTTGATAAATCTGCAAAAGTTTAATACTCCTCGATTGACATTAAGGGCACATAGCAATTTCATCTATGATTTTTAAAACTTTTTAAAACAAAGCTATTTAGCATAATAAAACTTTTTAAAACAAAGCTATTTAACATAATGTAACAGTGTGGAAAATTCGATTCGTTATTAGGTAATGAAGTTCGTTTTGTTGATACTGTTATTTCTTTATGATTTAATAATGTAAGTTTCTTTGATGAAGTTGAAGTATTTAAATTACTTGTTGAAGGTATGTTATTAACAAGACTATTTTCCGAGTCAATGTTGGGTTCAGGAGCTTTAAAAAAACTTTTGTCATGAAAACATCGTTTTTTGAAAATTCTTGATCCCCCTGCCTTTCGTCTTTTTCCAGCATCAAGTTTTTTATTTTCCATACTTATTATTTTTTTCTAAATTTGAATAATAATCATAACCATCTAACTGAATACACAAGTAGGACTTCTAGCACGAGTCAAATAAATTATAGTAAATTAAGAACTATAATAATATATATATATACAAAATATATCTGCCAGCAGCAAAAGCATGCTTCTATTTAATCTTTTTGAATATATTTCAAGTTATATTTTTGGTTATACTTTAAAACTACATGTGGATGTCCTGGATTACTTTTAGATGCTTACTAATGATTAAAACTAGGCTTCGTTTTTAAAATTTTTTTTTGATTTTTTTTTTTTTTAAATGTTGATTTAGGTGCCCCAAGAAGTCCTTACGGTTTTATCACAGAGCACCGTGGAAGAGCATTTAATGGGAAGTTCACGCCTCCTTCCCAATTGATGTCGCATAACTTGTCCAGAAGTGGGGTTTGAACCACGGATTTTACGTTTCTGAGGCAAGTGCGTTACCACTGCGCCACGGCCGCTCTGTCTTTTAATTTTTTATATTTTTTAAATCGCAAAATTTATGCGATTTCTATGAAAAAAATTATACCACCTATATCTAATGATAAAATCATATAAGTTGTAAATATTTTTTTGAAAAACAAATATCACCATCATTTTCTACGAATTGGGTAAAACAGTACAATTTGAAATTTTGAAAATTTTCATATTTCAAGGTAGACTACCACCTTAAAATGCGATAGCATTTTAATTAAAAAACCAAACTAAGTAAGCTAAATAAAATATTGTAGTACAAATCCGTCAGAGTCATATAGGTAATGATGCTTGCTTCATTCTTCTTTGAAGCAGTTTAGTAAATAATTTTGTGATTTATAATGCTTCGACCTTTTCACAATACACATATATTAGTGAAAGTACTTATAACAGTTTTGTGATTGTAATGCTTTGATTCTTTCACGATACACATTCGTTGGTGTAAGTGCTTTTAACCACTCGTCTTTCATGGGTACTCTCATATAATTTGATAATCTGCGAAGCGTATGTACATTGCTCACATTCACAAGACGTTACTGGAAGTTCGAATCCAGTGCTTATCGCACTTCAAAATTAAAGTTTGTAAATATTTTGGCTTTGGGTCTTCAAACTTGTCATAAAGATTCTTCCATCGGATAATTTCTTCATTAAACAATCCAGGCAGAGGTAGATTGTTGCTATAAATTTTGACAACACCGTTAAGACTTTCGATTATGTCACATTTTGAAGTTTAAGATTAGGACACTTTTACAAACGACATGCATTATTTTTGTTGCCTGACAAGATTGTTTACTAAACAATAATTAAAGGTCCAACATAATGAAATCCAAATAAGGATTGATAATACGCTTGAAAACCTTTTAAGTGCTGGAGTTCTCTGACAATGAGTTTGCCGTTAAACTCTTGATGTTAGCATATCGACGCACAAATGTTCTTCAAAATAGCAATTCTTACAGCATATATGAAGATGGAATCTGATAGTTGTTCAAGTTGAGCATCACGTCTGTATTTTAATTTTAATACAGCTTTCTTTGTATGCAGCAACCACATCTTGTGTTTTTTTCACAAGATGTGG